AATGAAGCCTGGGGTTAAATACACACTTATTTACCGAGTTTGTCTGTTCTCTGGGATATGTTTTCATCTAATCGCACGTGACAGTTTTAGCACAAACCTAATTACATATAAGCGCTAGTCAACGGGCCATGAGTAAAGTGAAAAGAAAGCTATTTGCTATACCACTTAACGAAGGCTAAAATAGCAGCCACACTTACACGGTAGCATAATGGAGGGCCGCCTACTTGTAGAAAGACGCAAGTCTATTAATAAGATAGTTTAGAAACAACAGTAGCCACGTATACAGGCGGCGCCAATCTTGGGAAAACAGTCGTGGACCAGTCCAACTCTCTGAGATGTGACTTGAAGCACCATCTCGCGTCACTCACGTTGTTGGCCCGGAAGAAAGCAGCTGAACGCAACAGAGACTCACTAGTCCTACTAAGTGGCTTCCACAGGATAACACTAAAGAGATGGCGGGATATTCAACCCGAATCTGACAGACACTCGACCACGCGGAACACTTTCAGTTTGAGACGTCCTTATCTTTTCGAGCCGGAATATCAGACGCATAGAGCCCGGGAGCTCCGTGAAAGGGCTACGAGAGAGAAGCTACCGGTAGTCAAATGCTGCAACCACAGCCGCGTACTTCAGGAAACTGTGGGTACCCTGCGACACTGAAGCTGTGCCACGCGAAGAGGAGTGCGCTGTGTTGCAGAGTGGGAGACCTGTTGCTTCGCCGACACCCAAGGGAAAAGCAGTGTTTTGTACAGTCTGAAATTTCCGCTCTCTGATAAACAGGGTTGTACTAACAGAAACTTTTTTTGCATGTCCCGAAAATAAACTGGAGGCGGCGACGCCAAACCGGGGACCAGATGGAGCAGTTATCCACTGAGTAAGACACTAGGACCGAGTTATGTTACATTTTTAATGAAGGTAACTACAGCTTTACTATAAGAAGAGGCTCGACTTTAGCAACAGCAAAGCAAATAAAGTTTAGGTGTTGAACTTCCCCACCTAGGTTTCCTACAAACGAACAGCTAATCTTTATGCATTATGGGTGGTAGTACATGATCATTGACCAAGACAACATTCACACATTACCCGCGTTATCCAGATTATCCACAACAGGTCTCAGCTCTCGGTACAAGCACTTTTCTTAGGTGATCTTTTTTCTGGGAGGGTTGGAGGCTTTTGACTAGCCGGTACTCCTCATCTCTCGTAGCCCTTTCACGGAGCCTCCCGCGGTCTTCGTCTGTATTCCGGCTCGAAAAGATAAGGACGTCCATCCAAACTGAAAGGGTTCGTTGTCCGTGTCTTGCAATTCCATTGAATACATCCACCATCTCTTCACGTGCTGTATCCTGCGGAACACTAGTAGACTAGTGGTCCTCTGTGCCGTTCAGTGTTTCTTCCTGCAACATACGTTCAGTTCACGCGAGATGGTGCATTCAAAGTTCACATCTCCAGAGAGTTGGACGGTCACAAGCACTGTTTTTCCCCAAAAGATGCGCGCCTGCTTACTACGTGAAGCTACTGTTTAAACCTCTCCTTTTTAATAGACTCTGTAACATTAACAAGTCTCAATGCTTCGGTTTACAAGAGGCCCTCATTTATGCTACCCGTCTGGTAAGTGTGGTAATAGAAATACTTTTTTCCACTTTACTCTGCCGCCGTTGATCTAGCGTTATAAGTAATTAGCGGTTCTGTGCTAAAACCTGTCAACGTTTGGGCCCGGAAATTTAGAATGAAAAACATATCCCCAGAGAAGCAGACCAACTCGGTACACATGTGTTATTAACCCAGGTTCATTTTGCGCGGCGGAATTGTCCTTTCAAAGTATGAATGCCTATTCTTGACTTTTGAAACTACTACAGACTGCATCACACATAGGTCTATTTTTTTTTTTTTTTTTTTTTTTTTTTTTTAAAAGGTTGTATTTAAATGTGTAGTCCATCAATATCCTCAGAACTGCATTCTAAACATCTTACAGGCAAAGAATAATTTATATTCTATCAGCAAATAGTACACATCCCTGCAACACTCAACTGTTTACGCCATTAACTAACAGTTTAGTTAATTGCAGGTGAGACATACACGGCAGACAAACCTATTTTAGTCATCGAACGGTCAGTTGTTCTATTCCCTTGCTTCTAAATGCCTTCTTGTAGGACAAGTAGAAAAAACACCCAACAATACAACGTTTATCTTTCTTTGTTTGCGTCTGTAGTTTCTCGCTAAAGTTAGCACTAGATACTGCTTCATTGCATATTTAAACAAAAGATATTACTTAAGTAAGTGTCAACTGGGGAGGTTCATGGTCCTGTAGGTCTTGCAAAATGTATGAACAATAACATACGTCTTAAGGCTGTTTTTTTTATGAGGTTTTTCCAGCACCTTTTTCAAATTTCTACTTCAGTAGCACTTACACTAAACCTTTCAGTTCTCTTCCTATCTATATTGCTAAACAATCATTCATATTTTCAATTTTATTCCAAAAAACATCAACAAATTGTGACTTTTTTCAAGTGCATGAACAAAGTTGGGAAAATTTCCATTCAACCAACCCTTGTGTTCGTAAACAATAAAATAATCTCATATCTTCGAATTCTATTTCTGATTCATCGAGGATAAAAAGACAATAACCAACAGTTCCCATCTGTAAAGTGTCCAGCGTTTGAATGTTATGACTTAATCCTTCTTGGCTAGCTGTAGATAACATGGTGGTTCAACATGGTGACTGCTCCCTCTGTAGATAAAACCTGTAATAAAAACACTCTTCAGGAGAAATGTTTGCTATCCATTGAGGCAAGCCTGGCGGTTGAAGGCCAGCCTCCCAAGTAAAAAAGAACTTAAGATTTTTTTCCCTCGTGTTATTCATGGAGAGGAGAGTTGCACCACATGAAATACCCACAATCTCTCCCCACATTACTGGATATAACATAATCATTTGGTAGTGGTGAGCACCAGGAACTCATGATAGATCTGGCATTATCTCATTTATTAAATCATTATAAGTCATTCATTAGTTAAGGTGGCACTATGTGGGCGCCCGGATGCTCAGTGGGTAGAGGCTGGTGACCATGTAACGTGACGCTGAGTCTTGCTGCAGCAGCCCAGGGTTGCGAGTCGACCTTGGCCCTTTGCTGGCGTGTCATTCCCCTCTCTCCTCTGCCCCCCCTTTCCCTGTCTGTCTTCAGCTGTCACCGAATCATAAAGGCAATAAAAGCCCCGAAAAAATAGTGTTAAAAAAAAAAAAAAAAGTGCACTGTGATCTTCATGGTTTTAGCCGGATTACTTTTTTTTTTTTTTTTTTTTAAATGTAGGCATCTCTTGCCTTGTCGCGCTAGCTGCCTGCCTCCTGAAACCACTCGAAAAACCCGTCTCGGGAGAACAACACAGGGGATTCGTAAACGTCAAACAAACACTAGGAGCGCAGGCTGTGGAGCCAAAAATACAACAAACCAGTTCAGGCCAATCAACCAAAAAAGATGGTTGGGAGAGGGGGAGGGAGTGGGGTTAGTGCACGTGACACTAATGGGGGCAGCAGAGCAGAGTTGATTGAGTAGCGTCACCGCTTCCACGACTCTGCAGCTCGACAGTTTATGAAGGCGAAACAAGAATTATGACATCGTAAGCCATTTCAATATGCTAATAGTTTGTAATTCCTAGCTTTTTGACTTCATCCCTAATACGCTGCCCGACGAACGGCTTGCCAGTAGCAATGCCTGGCCGTGAGCTTGTAGCCGACGCTAAGTAACGGAAGCCGTTCGTAGCAAGCCATTAATCTTGTCAGTCAAGCGACACAATTAATTCGTTATCCGACAAACGATTTTTTTATGTCGAGATAACGAATTAATAGCTGTTATCACGAGATAATCCGTGCATAAAAAAAAAAAAAAAAAAAAAAAAAAAAAAAAAAAATTACAAAATGGCCGTTCTCGGTTTTCGATCTTTGAATAAGCTGCATAGCAGAATTTTCAATATATCAGCTGAACAATACCTCATATCGTAAAACTTATTTATAAAGATATGAATATGAACCATCCAACTGAACAGTTTGGAGTTAGTCAGCCATCTTAGCGACCGTTAGCGTAGCAGCAAGCCTCCACTTTTCGAATTTCCCAATGCGCGTTCATGACAGTTATGGAAACCATGGGAGGGATGACTTGCTCTGTTTGTTTTATCTACTTTGAACGACAACAAAGTGACGTCATGCAGGATCGCATAGTGCACCTTTAAGATTATTTAGTATCTGATTGTAACCTTTATTCATAAAGTCTAATCCAATTCAACGTGGATGAGATGGTTATTGGGAAAGTGGGAAGCAGACGTCCTGAGGAACGTCGATCCTAAAACGGATCCCAAACAGAAAGGACCCGGTGCTCGCAACAGCTCTCAGGTTCATTTCTTAACCAAGGAAGGCTGGACTCAGCTTGTCCACGACACACCCCTGCCACGTTCTGACGTCCTGACGCAGCCGTCCTAATAGCTTCCTCACGCCTGCTGCTAAATTCCATCGTTTCCACACTGTAAAAACCCGGATAATGAGTTTACTTAAAAAATTTGAGGAAATAGTTGCCTTAAAGAAAAATGTTTTATATGTATATTGTTTTGATGAAAACTGAGTGAATTTAACTTTAAAGAACATGAAGTACTGAAATTGTTATTTTAGTTCAATGCGCTAAGCCCTCCTCACCAACTAATAATGTATTGCTGCATTTATTCCACTCCTAAAATTGAAAGCCCAATGACTAACCTCCAAGGTGACTTTCACTTGAAATCACTGTAATGTGTAATTCTTTAACCCCAATTATCCACCTAGTATCTTCTATTGCTCATTAAACCTGTTTTGAAACCAGAAATTCTAAATTAAAGAAATAAAAGCAAACACAAAAGTACCATTTTCAATGTTTTATGTTAACTTGGGAACACAGGAAACCATTTTAAACCCATATTCATTGTTCTTGGTTGACCCTGGTGGTATATAACATTTTAGAAGGGAAGAAGCAAAGAAGCTCCTCTGCGCCGGAATTGTCCTTTAACAGTATGTCCCCTGCAGGGTTGTTTTCTTGCTTTCTTTGGTTAGTCATTTACTGTGGAGAAATTCAGGGTTCCCACTCTTTTCAAGAGATCACTTTCCAGGACCTTTAAGGACATTTTCCACAAGTTTTCTTGACAATACAGGACAGCAGTTGCTCACAAACAGTACATTTACCAGTAGGCCTAATACTGACCCAGTTTTACTCCTCCTAGTTTAATGATGCAGGTTCATTAGAGGTATTTGGTCAGTATGTTCGCTCGCTTTCTACTGTTCTCACAGGAGTTTTTGACTACAGCTTACTACAGTTTGCCTCTAACCTGGACATTATTTCCAGCATGTTTGTTCATTTTAATCAATTATTAGGTGTTTCTCTGACTGAAAAACTTGAATACATGGGAACCTTGAAATTGTAGAAGCAGTATATTGTGTTCATTCAATAGTCAAGCAAGACAAAATTTTAACATGACTTGGATCCTTATTTATTTAAAAATAATCAAGTCACAACTATTTTCAATTGATCTGAGATCACTTTCTTTCAACATCACTGTTAATACAAGCTAGATAAATTAAAATCACCAGTAACACAGCTCATGTACCAGTGTTGGTCTCCTCCACCAGCATCACAGTGACTTAAATAACAGTAGTATTAGTAAGTAACACTTTAGAATGACGTTAGACAAAAACTGATTATTAAAGCCTGAATTAATGTAAAAAATCAAAGATTATGGCTGCTTATTCCCTATTCCGCCACTGCTGCTACTACCTCTAACACCTCTCGTGAACGGCTCCCAGTTAATGAAATCAGCGGCTTATAAAAGTCTTCAGATAAGATTCATTTCTTCCCTGACTGTTAGTGTTTATTTGTGCAGCCCTTTAATGAAGTTACCACCACACACACACATATAGACACACATATACACACACCATACACCATGCATTAACAGAACACAGTGGAGCATGCATCATGTCACACTGCACTGATGCTACACCGCCCTCTGCCTGTCCCGCTGGCTTACAGGCAGCCCCGGCGGCTTGAGGGAGGATGGGATGGGCAGCTCGTGCAGGCTGTCCGGGAAGCTGGCGGGGCTCAGCTGCTTCAGAATAGTCTGCATAGCGGTGAGAAGCAGCGGTGCCGGGCTCCTCCCTGCCAGGTACTTGAACGTCTCCTCACCCAGCACCAAGCTCCAGTGCTCAGGCTCTCTGTCCAGAGCCGCCCTCATTTTAAAGTCAACCTGTGGCATGAACATGAGCAGGTTGTCCAGACACTGCCTCCTCTCCCCGCTGGCCACCTCCTTGGAGTCCCGCAGCTTCTCCAGAATGACGTCCAGAGGAGTCAAGCCGTTGTGGTCCACAGTGTGCGGGGACGCTCCATTCCCTAGCAGCATGACGAGCGCCTCGGGCCGCAGGAGTTCGCAGGCCAGGTGTAAAGGGGTTCTGCCATCCTCCATGTGAAAACAGCCACCTCGGTCTGTGTAATGGGGTGTGCTGGGGGTCCGGTGAGTCTCCTGCAAGTCTGCACAATTAATCAAAATGTTATTGAAATCCTGACACATGCAGAAGCTGCCATTTTTTGATAAAGGTAAATTGTGTAAAATGTTATTCTCCAGATTTTGTACAGACCCCAACAAATTTCACATTATCATGATTTTAATAATTTTCAGGGAAAACTTTATTTGTGATGTGTAGTAGTAGTAGTAGTAGTAGTAGTAGTAGTAATAAAAATGATATATATATACAAAATAAAATATATAATTAAAATATATATTATAATTACCAGGGACACTGTACACATTTTATTTCTGTCAAAATATAAATCTATAAATATTTTTTTTAACAGTGAAAATTAAATTCGTGACTAATAATAATAATAAAAATAATAAAAATAAATCAACAAAATAAACAAAATAAATTACCAGGAACATTTTATTAAATAATCTTTCAAAAGAATTGCAATAAGATGTTTTTACCGCATCGTGCAGCTCTTGTCTCCTGCAGGATGAGGCCGAGAATGTAGCGCCGGTCGTAGCGGACAGCCATTGCCAGGTGCGGGGCGGAGGACGGGCAGCAGCAGAAGCGCTCCCCGGGCTTCGCTAGCGCTTCGTCGGTGTACCGACTGAGCAGGTACTGGGCGTACGCTTGGTGGTCGTGAACTATAGCGTAGAGCAACGCCTCCGACGGGCTGTAAATCCTCTGGCCGACGTCCTCCTCCTGGTAAAAAGTCTCCATCGTCCGCATGTCCTCCAGCATCCAGACCGGCTTCAGGTCCCGCACGGCCCGGTAGAACAGCAGCGAGAAGGACTTCCGATGCTTCTCGATGCTCCGAGCCGCCGAGCTGACGGTTAAAGAGGCCATGGCGACAAGCGGACACAGTAACGTAACTTGGCGTGTCCTCGACGGGTTTACACGGAGTCTTTCATCGTTCCGGAGACATTACTTCAAGAGCTGCGTGGGAATGAGGACAGGACAGTTGAACGTATAACAGCCAGTAAAGAGCAGCCTGCAGCTCTGTACATACACTCATTAAACTGACTGACTCACATTCCTGCGCTCCTGACAGCTGCGGGACGCCTCTGCAGTACTGAGCCAGCACGCATGCGCACTTTGTAATAACATCAAAACAGTCCAGGAAACTTTATTGACAACCAGCGTTCAGTACTAACAACTTCTGCACTACTGTTAACCTTTTTATTTTATTAGTAGAATCTATTATCTACAAAGCGACATTTCTTAACTCAGCGCAATGTTTAAAGTTATTCCTAACTGAAGCTAAATGGCATTTGGAGTTTCATAAATGTATAACAAATAAGAAATAGTTCAAATGTGTTGTGAGATGTTTGTCTAAAGTCTGTCAGCAAAATGAATATTAATTCCTTCCTTTGCCTTTATTGTTTTTATTATTTAAGCTCTTTGATGTAGTCTATATAGTTTTTTTTTTTTTTTTGTTAACAGGTATGACTGTTTCTAATTCTCATTAATAAATAACAACAGTTTCAGGAAAGACTCAGCAAGTGGAAGAGAAATAATATTGCATACATTATTAAAAGGAGATCACATAGAATCGCCTAAATGAGTGTGATTTGGTTAAGAGATGATTCAGATACAGTAGTAGTTTTTCACTGAAATTCCTTGTAGGACAGACAACTTTGAAATACACCATATACATTAAAAAAAGTGTCAAACAGCATTATAAGCTTATTATAAGCTTATCTTGACTTAATTATTGAGTGTCTATGGTAGCAAATGACAATCATGAAGAACTGGGAAAAACTAAGCATGTAAACTAAGGGGTAAGGGGCCTTTTTCCAAGCTTTGCATAAGATGAGTATTGCTTCATTATTTTGGCAAAACAACAGGCCCATATTGACAGATAGTTCATAGTTCACCTTTGTTTTCAGGCTTTTTAACTTATTCTTGATTTTAAGGAAGCACTGAATATTCAACAAAAAATACTCTAATTCCCAAATAGACTTCAGTCCTTTATTTTTTTTATTATGTCACTTTTTTAAATACATGTCTTACTATGTTGATACATAGATACATATGAAATTAATTAAACTCCAAGAGGAAAATTATTTTTGGGATGAATTATGGAAGCCATAACAAGGACTATGACTTTGTCATTACCACACAAAGTCTGTATACACAGTACAGAATACATTTGAACATTTTGAACTACTAAAGATTTTATTTTACAATACTTTGGTAAAATGAAATCACTCATGTCATTTTCACCAATCTAAGCACAAAAAAGTGTTAAAGATTAACTACATTTTAAGGGTAATTTGATTTTAAATGTGATCTTTATTTATTCATTTTTTATTCAAAAATATAATTTTTTTTAAATAGTGTAATTGGAACAGCATTGTTCTATTGTTATAATGTAAAAGGGAAGTATATTTCAATGAAAAATAAAGTCTTAGTAAAAAGGTACAGTATGGGAAACAAAAAATAAAACAAAATAAAACAATAATTGAACCCAGTAGTGAGATTATACCTTTATCATACTTTCAAACAAGATGCGTGCTTTGTGTTAATCAACTATCTTATCATACAGACTCTTGGGGATTGTATGCAGTCCATTGCATTGTCCTGTTTGGTCTGAGCAACTTAAATACTGAGCAGAAGATTTTAATTAAATCACAAGAAACTGATAATCAGTGTTTCTGTATGGAAGTTCTCCTTTCAGACTGAACCTCAAACTTTCTCTGATTATTTAAATGATTATTTAGTTTGACTTCCAGTAAGTAAACTACTCAAACATAATCGATTTCATCATTTTCGCCATTAAACAACAAATATTTCCAAATGATCAAATCAAATCTAAGATGATTAAATGAGAAAAAAAAACTGGACTTTTTCTAACTTTTCTCTAATTTAAAATTTTTCTTGTGAAAGTCCCCAGTTTCACCCTTTCTGGCCCCAAATTTCTTCAAATTAAAATAATCTGACAGGGCATCAGTTGTTGATGACTCCTTGTCTGCTTATGATGAGTTGCAAGTATGTTGCAGTGTGTAACATTGTGGAGGATCTATTGTCAAAAATGGAATATAAT